CACTTCTTAACATTATCTTACTAAGATCTTATCCTTTAAGATTTTGATAAGATAATCTACGATCTTATCGTTTAAGATCTTAATAAGATTTAATGACTCTGCTTTCATTCACCCTTTTGTTTTGCTCGCATTCATCTATATAAGTGACCGAAAATATGAGTGAGTATACGCTTATTTTTCTTCCTGACTCTGCTAGTACTTGCTCTCCCGAAAGTGTTCAACAACTTTTAGAGAGTGTACATGCAGGTCAAGGTCCATAGTTGGACACTTGAAAATATGAAATTTCTCTTCATTTTTCAACTTGGGTAATGCGGATTAAAACTTGAAAAATTTTCAGTGAATTCCGAATGAACATTATTTAAAAAACGTTATCGTTCTTGCTGTTAAGATCCTAATATATTCTTATCCAATCTTGAAAGTCTTAGACAGTACAATCTTATTAAGATCTTAGTAAGATTTCGCTTACATTTGTTTAAGATCTTAGAAAAACCTTATAAAATCTTAGAATTTTCGGGTCTCACGATCTTAGTAAGATTTGTGTAAGATCATAGACAAACATAAGCGAAATCTTACTAAGATCTTAACAAGATTTTCCTAAGATCTTAGTAAGATTTGAGTAAGTTTTTCACTAGAAGAGTTAGTCAATTTAACAAAAAATGAGTTTTTGCGAGGAGCACTTCTAAATCATTCACTTTGGCACTTTGGCAAGCTTTAAAATTTGGGATTTGACACCATACGCAAGAATTATAGGTGCAAAAATGATCAGCACGTTTTACAAAATTATGCAAGTCTCAGCTCTCCAACTATCGTCGTTTGGCCAGGGCTCGCTTTCCCGAGCACGTGTCTGTCTCCGAGCAGACACCTCTGGGAATGTCGAAATGCCATGGAATATAGGTAATCGACTTCGCCGAACATAGTGGCAACATTTGTTTTTGTTAGAAATGAAAATAACGTCGCCAGAGGCGTGTGCCTTTCTTAAATAAGATTTTTATCAGATTCTTATAAGAGGCGTATCTATTTTCAATGAGAACTTTAAAGGGATCTGACAAGACAGTTGCCAGAATTCTTTTATAAGAATTTACCTCTAGGGTGATGGTTATGAACGTTGAATACTGATAAACTAAATAATTTCATATTGATTCAATCTGAAAGTTAATACTATACGTTTTGTAGCATTCAGGAGAAATAAATCATTCAAATTAGTTTTCTCTTGCTCTTAGGCAGCTAATCGTAAAACGAACAGTGGACAGCTGTTTAGTGTTATATGAAGCTACGTAATATAACGAACGCTACAATGAACGCAAATGTAACTGAACAGTAATTAAATGGAAGAAACTTCAACATCATTATAGAAATGTATAAGAAACTCGATAGATATTGAGAGTAATATAATTACTACACAGCCCATGCCGACGAAATCGCAAGTCTTAAAAAATCGCAGATTAATTGCGATTAATTGGCGATTCCAATGATTTTTCTTTTTTTCTAATCGGCAATTAATTACGATTAATTATTGATTTTAAGCGATTAAATGGTTATTGTTATTCACCATTTTATTCTACAGTAAAGTATGTGTATAAGAAACACGATTTCAACGAGAAATACACTTCTATTTAGATCATCTTTTTATTTTAGTGTAAAACGGGATTATCAAGTCTTCTCGGTGATCCCTCAGAGCTTTAAGTCGAGGAGCCCAGTGAACAGCTGGTATCTGGGCAATGCCTCAAATTGAGTCGTGGGAAAGGCTCCGACTTTAGCTGATGCTAAGATCTTTGCTGGGTTACATGTCATTATACATAATAAACAATGAAAAAACAGAAAAAAAATATGTATTTTCTAAGATGGATTCGAACTTATTATCAAGAAAAAAATCAGCAATTAATCGCGATTAAGCGCACGATTAATTGCCAATTTTTAATACATGGGAGATAACCACATGTATAACACACATGAATGCCTCGAATATACGGGAATATATTTACTAATCAGGAAAAAGTTTTAAGAATATTAATCTACGGATAAAAGTACAATTTTTTTACCTTCTCTTTCTCTTAGATTGTACAGGTAAATGATTCAGCTTTATCCAGAGATATTCATTACCAGAACATTCAGTGTGTCCTATGAAATTTTCCTACAGTTAATTATATAAAGTGTTTCAGTGGCGACGTACAGAAATTCGATACTTTCTAGTTCTACGTAAAAACATCACATCCAGTTTCAGCAGAATTTAACGTACACAGGAAGTACAAAAGCAATTTATAGATTGCCTAAAGATTGTTAGTGATCTGTTTATTAAAGTAGACTGTACTGCCACCTTTCATAGAGATTCGCTCATATCAGGTTCTCATCGATTCATCGATTATTTTATTCTGCTTTTTGTTGATTTTTGGTTTTGTGCTACATTTGGGCTTTTCAACGGTATTGAGAATTTTCTAAAACTTTGATTCGCAATTTTTCTGCAAATCATCGGTAATGAATTAATCTCATGACTGTCTATGTCTATATTTATCGCACATCATCATTGCCCCAAAAAGTCACACTAAAAGTGTGAAAAATTCATGAAAAAAATTTAGTATTGCATGTTTACCAGATCGTTTCCTAAGAATACCGTAACTAGTGTTTTTAACCATCGACGGAACAGGTGAAAGAATAATAGACTTTCATTTGATTTCTACCCTGTTTATATTACCACAAAAGAAAGAAAATTCTACTTTGACTGTGAATTTTTTGTCTTTTAGAATTTCCATACCCATCATGTGATCCAACTAGTGAGCGAGAAAAACTCAAATACGTACTAAAGAACTGATGTGTATTTCACAAAAAGATCTCAATTTAAAGCTAAGCTAAGCATCTAACTTAAGTTTAACTTTATGTCTTTATGTTCTGCTTACGTGTCTTCTCAAAAAAAATTATTCTTTCGCTTTGTATTTTCGAGTAAAGTGAAAAACTCCACTGCGCATCCAACGCTCATTTTAAACGATGGCGATAACGTCTGAAGTAGTCCGTGAATTAAGCGATGAAAGTTAGAAACGATTAAAGACGGTAATAGTCCACCGAAAAATTACCATATCTGTCGCTAGTGCTATTTTAGTTAAAAATCAATAAAGAAAACAGCACATAGGCAAAAGTTATAATGCTATTTTTTACTAGAATCCTTATTTAGCATCTCAGTATTCATTGCGCCTTGCCATTGTTGAATTAAATCATCATTAAGATAATGATAAATCCATTGGAAAGTGCGAGGTTAGAGCATAAAATTTTAACAGGAGAATTATTTGCAGAATGGCGATACCGATATCGTTCTGTGACATGTTTTTTTGTTTATTTAAAAGATTATTTTGTTTTCTGTGGCTACGACGAACGAATGCGTATTGATTAAAGTAAATTCAGCATTTGTTCTCACTTTCTGCGATTTGTTGTTATGCAAATGTTTTCACTCAACAAAAAGGTTCTTTTTACCATTTGGACGTAGTTGTACTATCAAGCAGTTAAACCACGAAAATCGATCGCGATTGAGTTGATCTGAAATTGTATGAGATTTAGATTTTGAAAGGTACGGATTTAAGGAATTAAAACTTCAATCAGAATGAGCATCTCAAATCAGGATGTGAGCCGGTGAAAATATTATGTATGATATTTTATTGTAGTCCACAGAAACACATCTCAGGTCTGCTTTCTTGCAAGAATACAACATTCTTTTATCTTTGAATTTATGCCAAAGATTTTCAAATAAAATAACATCAGCTATATAGAACCCAATTTACTGACTTTAAATAAGAAGGAAATGTGTTATAAACGACCAAAATACATCTGAGACATTTAATGTACATCTGACTTATAACCGTTCAGAGATGAGTGATCAATGAAGTAGTCTTACACTTAAATTGGTTTTTTGTCATTATCCGTTCATTTAATTTTACTTTACTTTTTTTATATATGATCTCCAGAATTTTTAGTTGGGATGGGTGGATGTAAATTTTGCCAGGCATTTAGTGATCAAAACAAATAGTCACTTTTAAAAATTAGAACAAAAATTTTGGAGATAGTCTAAAGAACTTTTTTTACGAAAATCGTCATCCTTCGTGGCTTTTACGGTTTTCTCTTACTTTTTTTATGGTGAAAGAAGGATGGTATACAATGTCTTCATATATACTTACTGTGCAACGCACTAGTTCGTTTGAAAAGAAAGCCACAAAAACTAATTGAAGAGACTTTATTATATGTCACAACGTAATAAATATATTACCGGACAGATACTCGAAGATACTAACACATGAATAACTGACCGATGATTATTACTTTACTGAGAATCGAAATTCTAATAGAGTTTGTCTAACAGCAGTTATTTACCATATAGTAGTGTAATCATTCTCATTCTATTTAACATTTTTTGTAGATGGTGCTTTAAATGATCGAAGAAAAGATTCTGTTTGAACGAGGCAACGTTTATATCCATGAACGTCCTGTTACTGATTCCAAAGGCACAGCTCTAGATGAAATTGGAGGTACCATCTTTTTAGTTGAGAATGAAAGAGGAAAAATTCTACGTTTCATTCCATTGGGACTTGAAAATACGAATTATGCGGTGACGGATGAATGGGCAATGGTAAATGGACATTCAGTTATTAGCTATAATAAAAATGGCAATTCAGATTCTGGTAAGACAGCTGGCATATCAATAATCTATCTTAATACAAATATTCTCTATTTTTAGAATCATTATCGTTCAATAATAGTCCATTGTTGAAATATCGCTTTCAATTTCGTTTACACGATTTGAGAAATATTAGACGTCATCATACGTTACATGGAATTGCTCACATGATATTTATCTTGAAAGATGGCACAACTTTACCTGCTTTTTATTTTCATCTTGGTGGTTCTAAAAATTTACTTCAACAGATTGCCCAATATCTTCGACTAGAAAAGTAGGTGTACTTGTGATTGATAGTCAAGACTAAAATCTTTAAAATTGTATAAATCTGTTAAGATCAATCCAAGATAGTCGTCTTTATATTATTAAAGATGCTCTACCATCAGAACCAAAAGAAAATGTACAAGCTGCCAGTACATTTGACCAACTACATCTGTTTGATAACGGAAATGATTCAATGAGTAGATTTGTACGGTGTTCATCCTTTTTTTGTTCCTTCACAATCAATAAATGTTTTATGTTTTTTCTTTAGAAATTTGGTCATGATTCAAGACGTACAACTATGGAACGTTTTTCAAAAGTAACTCATTTTCTACGTGATGCATTCCTTGGACAAAATGATATTACATCCACAGGCGATAATGAGGACGGTGGCATTACACCAGATTTCAATTCATTACTTGAATCATTCAATGGATCGTGTGATTTACGTGAATCAAACAATGATGGTTTTGAAGTTATTTATAAGGTTCGTTAAAAAGAATGTATTTTTGACGTCATTTTTACCATCTGGTATGAGTTAACTGCAGATTAGACAGACGATTGTATCTTTATTTCAGGTGGATTTCAAAAAACTACCAGATGTCACTCGTTGTGCTCCTATTACAATTAAAGAATGGCAAGCATTGTTTGATAAAAATGGAAAAATTATGGATCCTGATTCGGTTAAGGTACGAATATTTCGTGGTGGACTTGAGAATTCATTGAGAAAAGATGGTTGGAAGTTTTTGTTAAATTATTATCCATGGGATTCGACTGAAAAATCTCGAATTGATATAACAAAACAAAAACAAAATGAATATTTTTCAATGAAATTACAATGGCGATCAATGACTGAACAACAAAAACAGCGAAATAATTTATTTCGTGATCGTGAAAGTCTAATAGGTTCGCTAATTAGTATAAATATTTTACAGTTTAATCAATAAAAAAATGATTAGTCTCTTTTAGAAAAGGATGTCATGCGTACTGATCGTACATTGGAATATTTTCAAGGAGAAGGAAATATACATCTAGAACTTTTACACGATATTTTAATGACTTATAACATGTATAACTTTGATTTGGGTAAGAAAACGTTTTTGAAAGTTGATAAAAAATAAATATGGATCGTGTATATTCTGACTATTTTAGGATATGTTCAGGGTATGAATGATTTACTTTCACCTGTATTAATTGTAATGGACAATGAAGTTGATGCATTTTGGTGTTTTGTCGGTTTAATGGATCGAATGGTAAATCCAAAATCTTTTTTTGTTAAATGTCGATTGGCTTAACTTCTTAATTTTTAGGGTGATAATTTTCATATGGATCAAAGTCATATCAAACGTCAATTGTCAAATCTTCATACATTATTGCAATTTATTGATGCTGAATTAGCAAATTATTTAGGTATGAATAAAACGATAGAGATTATATTTCATACATTTTTATTTTTTTATTTATTTAGCTGAAAATAATTCAAGCAATATGTACTTTTTCTTTCGATGGATGTTAATTTGTTTTAAACGAGAATTTTCATTTCAAGATGTACTGTTGTTATGGGAGGTAATGAACATCTGTAATGTATCTGTGATTGTCTTCAATATTTTGTTGAATTAGGTTATATGGACAAATTATCCATGTAAAAATTTCGATTTACTTGTCTGTCTTGCTATTTTAATATCTCAGAAAACTGTTATTATGGAATCACAATTCGGATGCAATGAAATATTAAAGGTAAATTTTATTGTTTTAATATTTTTTAATTTAAAAAACTTGATAAATGTTGTGTGTGTGTGTGTGTGTATATATATATAAGATTAAGAGAACAAAAAAAAACAGTGTGCGCCTGATATTGTTTACAGCATATCAACGATTTATCATTTAAAGTACAATTAGAACCATTACTACGGCAAGCTGAAGGCCTATATATACTATTGAAAAAACATGAAGAATCAACTCCTGGTCTACCGCCCGTAATCTCCTCGATTATGTTTCCAAATATGAAAAAGAAAAAAATACGAAATTTTAACGATGATGATGATGATGAATCAGATGCTACGTCCACAATCTCGTCAACATCGTCAAGAACACATTCACCATCATATGGACCTGTTCGTGTAAGACATCATACAGATTCACATACAATCAATGAAAATGATAGTGCTGTTGTTACTCATACAAGTTAATTTCAATACATTTAATTACAATAATTTTGTTTCTTCTTCTCTATGTATACACACATTCTGTAAGAGTTAATTTCGTGCACAGTTTTATCAAATATATACATATATTTATTTGTAATAATCTTCGCACGATTTTTTCATATTTTTGCAGTAGAACTGTTTTCTCTAGAATGACATTCAACTTACACACACAAAAAAAATTTTCTTTTGGCTTTTTCAATAAAATTTAAATTCTATATAAAATAGTCTAAATTCATGTAATATTGTTCAAATTAGTTAGTCAAGAGGAGAATAATCTGATACAATTGATCGGAAACGTTTTACAACTTGTATTGCCTTTCTTATGAAAACAAAATTTTCTTCACTATTTGTTTTATATCTTGTTAATTGAAGACGGTGAAAACTGAATCTTTTTTTCAGATATCTCATAAAAAATTTTATTGAACATTATTTTTGTTGTTAAAAGCTTGTTTTTGTTGTGTATATTGAATTGAATCTAGTTCATACATTGTTATTTGTCTTCTTTTTATCAGTAATTACTATTGCTAAGCAATGTATAAATATGATTTGTGTTTTTTCGTCAATTTTTTCTCATAGACTGATTTTTTAAACATGAACACCTACCTGTTGTAATCATCTATCTGTTTTCTCAATCGTTAATTTTATTTTTTCTTGGATAACTAGAATAAAATGACTAAATTTACTTGTCTGTATTTTTTATTTTAGATAGTTTTATAATACTAGATAACATTTTTTCTCAGGCATTATGAGTGAAAAGGAACCTGATCAAAAGAGTGAAAAAGGTCTCGAAGAAGAAGAAGAAGAAGACGATGATGAATATAAACCAGATGATGTAAAAACAGATGAAGGCAGTGAGAATGAATCGGAGAATGATGATGAATCTCAACCAGAATCAGACAAAAATAATGATCATAAACTCTCGTCAACACGAAGTACCCGTCGAAATATTATTAATCACAATAAACAATTTGATAGTGATCAAATTTCAACTATATATGATGAATCGAAAGCTGATTTATTATGGAAAAATTTTAAATCATCATCGTCAGTAACTACTGTAATAACAAATACCCCACCCAAAACTACATCTGCCACTGCAGTTCCAACAGAAACAACAAAAATCTACGAATTTGCTGGTGAAACCGTTGTGCTTCCGTCGATTCAACCATCAATGTCGACAACCATTTCTTCTACTCCAATTACTACTAATTCTTCTAAACCATTACCAACGACACTAAAACGTCCGAGTGGTGGAAGTATTGGTGCAAATGCTTTACTTGATCATTTGGGTATAAATAAAAAACAAAAGTTATCAACATTAGAAAAAACGCGTCTTGATTGGAATCAACATAAGTCAAATGAATCATTGACAGATGAATTAAATTTACATCGACGTGGAAAAAATTCATATGTTGAAAAAGTGGCATTTTTACAACGTGCTGATACACTTGAATATGAACATCAACGATTAAATTTTAAAAAGAAATGAACAGATATTTATTTATTTATTTTTGTGTATTTTATATAATGAAATGATCTGCTTTTTTGTTGTTCACTTGTGATTGAGAGACAAATTAGTGTTCTATTGAACATGTGAGATGGAAGAAAGATTTACATGATCAAATTAAATACGTTTCAAATGGACAGTCAAGTCTTGATAACAGCCGTTGTTTGTATGACATTGGTGCCTCTTTCGAGTCCTTCGTTTGGAGAAAATATCAAATATCACATCTTTTTTTACAATTTATTTTCTCTAAGATCCAATAAACGATTTTTTAAAAAAAAGTCTTTACTGGACGGGGGGTGGTATTGTCAACTCTGTTGTCAGGGGTTCAGCATTTTAAGGTTTCTAAAGTTTTTGATTGATTGTAAATATTTCATTGTATATTGTTTTTTGATTTTCTTTAGTTTTTTAACAATTTGTCGTGCCACCTCGACCTTAATACATGTTTATTATCCGCAGAAACATTATACAAACAATTGTCCGATCATCGTGATCTTCCCACGTCGATTGTAAATATTTTGGCTATTAAAAAAAGTCGGAAAACATCGTTATCACCATAACACAAACTATTCGTTCTTCATTTTCAATAGCCAATGACAATTCAAAAAAAATTATTCCCCATCTATATCAACAAGATACCAAAAATGACTGAATACACTGTTTAATGCATCAGTGACATAGTTTATGTAAATTTAAAATAAATCTGTTTTTGTTTTCGATTATATTCTCACAAAAGAATCGAAATTTTGACGTTCTTTTACTCTTTTTTTCTGAATGTACATATTCTCAGTTTAATTTCATAAAACATTGGGTTTTTTCTTCATAACATTATGTACACAGTTTATTACAATTATTTCGTTATATAAACTAACTTTCATCTGTGACACATTTGCGTTCAGTTTTTTGTTTTCATAGATTAAAAACTGTTCGTTTATTTTATTACATAAATATTTTTGTTAGTCTTCTTTTCCTAAGAGAAACATGTCACTAAGTAGACAAATTAAAATCGTTTCTTTCTGAGTCGAGACTTTTTTAAGATGAAATAGTCGATGATAGTGTATAGAAACATTGATTTTGTCTATCTGTTTCAGAATTGAATCTTACCTTTTTTTTACTTGATTCTTTCTTATCCAAAAATTATGCACATATTTATTGAACGATGAATCGAAGTTTATCATTTAAAGTTGTTTTATTAGGAGAAGGATCGGTGGGGAAAGTAAGAATTTGCCAATATTTTGTTTTTTCTAGTAATAAGTAAATAATATTGTTATTTAGACGTCAATTGTTCTACGTTATACAGAAAACCTATTCAATGACAAACATCTTGAAACGCAGCAAGTTGAGTTATATTGATAATGTATGAATGGGGGGGTTATTTATTTCTCTTGATTTAGGCATCATTCAAAACAAAAAAATTGACGTTCGATGGCAAACGTGTTGAACTTGCAATTTGGGTATGTGTATCCTCGAATAATGAATAAATTAGTCAAAAAACTAAATTTATTATCATATCTTTTTAGGATACAGCTGGCCAAGAACGGTTTAGGTAAGAAAAAACAATCAAATTAACGTTGTCACTATCTTCTATAGTACCCTTTATTTACTTGTTTAGAGCTTTGGGACCACTTTATTATCGAGATAGTAATGGTGCCATACTTGTATTCGATATAACAGACGAAGACTCTTTTGAAAGAGTGAAAAGTTGGACAAAAGAATTGAGACGTATGCTTGGAAACGATTGTATATTATGTATTGTTGGCAATAAAATTGATCTTGAAAAAGATCGACATGTATCAATGCAATTAGCAGAAGAATACGCAAAATCGGTTGGTGCTAAACTTTATCATACATCAGCAAAATTGGATAAAGGAGTTGAAGAACTATTTAATGATTTAGCACAAAGTAAGTCGATATTTGCCGATGAGTATATGATATGATATTTCAGACGAACTAGTATCGAGTTACAATACTTTAAGTCCAATGGTATAGAGAATGTGATATATGTATATATACGTTTTTATGTAACGTGAATCTTTTAACCAGATTTTACCATATATTTAATACTTCCCACTTGAACAATGATACGCTAAATGTTTTACGAGATTGTATTATTCAATTCTCTTTTATTATAGGAATGTTAGAACGTTCACCCGGAACGACGGTTGGCGGAGGAACTGCAAATAATCAAAATCGTTCTTCAACAGGCACACGAGGAGGTATAACTATTGCACAATCAGCAACTGGACAAAATGATAATGGACGTTCGAGTGGATCGTGTTGCTCGTAATATCTCTTTGACAACGTATGTTTATTTTATTTTATTTTCTTGTAATGATGATTATTGTATAAAAAAAAGATCATGAACATCTTCGAACAAAAATTAGTTGCTTAACTTGAAATTTTTTTTTCTGTTATTTGTTATTGTCGTTATAACAGTCTTAAATGATACGTATATATTCCAAAATAAAACCATCTCCTTTTTTCTATTTGTTGACTATGTCTATTTTCATATATCACAAAATATAAATATATTTTTCTGTCTTATTCTGTTGTATGTTTAACTGTGAAATAAAAAATAAACATCAATAACGGACAAAAACAAAAGTGTAGGAAATTCATTACCAATGTAATGACGAACCGTCTCTCAAAACACAATTCCTTGTCGCATCTAACACCAACACCATAATACGTGTGCTATAAACTTGTAAAGTTTTATTAGTCATTTCATTTCGAACAACAGTATAGTACAGGATTACCATCGTTTTTTCGTGCTTTCCGCTTTTCAGTTTTTTCCAATTTTTCCATTTTCCTTGCTTCATTGCATGCAATCACTTTTGATAAACTTTATTTTCTATTAATGCATCTATAAAGTAAATCCCTACCAAAGCTTCTATTGGTCCGAGACCGACTCGCCTCGGACCACGCCGATCCGGTCGATTTTTTCTTCAGGTTAGGCGATCCGTCCCAGAAAATTGTTCAGGTCGGACGGGCCAGCCCGGTCCAAGAAATTTTCAAAATTTTCTCCATATTTTTAATTGCATTTGTCTATTTCCTAGTAACAGTAGATGTTACTATGTCTAGTAAATTCTGTGGTCAAAAAAATACTTGTTTTTACTTAATTAACTGATATTGCTGTTGAACCAATCCTAAGCAAAGCTTTTTCTGCGTTTTTGCTATAATAAAGTTGAATTTGGTCTTAAAAAATTTACAGGGGAGCTCGAGCCGGGTGGGCCGGGCCAACTGATTAGCACGATGGGGTGTCGTCTATTTTTTGTCCGGCATCAAAGATTGGCCCGATTAGGACCCCTGATCCCTGCGCTTCCTGAATCTGCTGATTTGAAACTATATCTTTACTGCAGCTGATAGCTTTTTTCCCTTACAAACGCGTCGAGAAGCGAAAAAATGCTTTCCATTTTGTTCCCAGTTGTCGTTAAAAGTCTTTTCTGCTTTTTTCTAATTTTTTGGATTTTTTTGCACTTTTCGGACTTCTGAAGGTGGCAATTCTGGTATAGTATTCTATTCTTTTTCTCTTTTTTATATTGATGGAATACTGTACATACTAGTACAGAAAGTATAAGGGCAGATTTCTATTAGCTATTTGTCAATATTGTAGTACGATATTTTGTGTGAGAATCTTGTCTTCATTAAATTGCATCGAAAAATAAAGTTGTCTTCATCATTTTATCATAAACAGTAAATAATTCCAAATTGATGAACTATTTTTGTATGTGATTGTTTTCAGCATATCGGAGAATTCTATTCTACGTCAAAAGATTTTTCTACTCCATAAAATTCAGTATGTTGTACACTCTATACCGGTGCGTTTTACCGTAAAACATAATCATTTAACCCTATGATCGAATAAAAAATTGAATATTCTTTTTAGTTTATATAGCACTTTTAATTTATGTTTGATCAACTATTCATCTTTCTTCGTTGTTACACACGCAAACACGAGAATTTTTACCATAAAATACAACGTTATACTTATTTGTGTAAAAGATCAGTTGTATAAAATGTATATTGAGAGCGTATTCAGATCCATACAATGAGATCATCTTTTAAATAAATTTAATAATAATTCACTTGTTGGACTTTGCAGTGATGATGATTGTATTATTTCGACATTCGTTAAATGAACAAGAAACTTTTCGTTCTTATTTAACTTTTGAGCTTCTTTTGTCTCATGTCAATTAATACTTTGAGAGTACTGTTACTTCTCAGTTTGGCAGACAAAATGAATAGAATTATCACTGATTAGTGGTTAATTCTTAAGAGATAATAGAAATTTGAATGATAAATCTCGCTCGATATGCTGATCTTATTCTTTGCATTGAACTCATCAATAGTGCCACCGTGATTTGATATTTTCATTCACATTCTATAAAGAAAAGTTGCTATTATTGAAACTTGCAGCTGTCTCGATAGTCTCGACCGACTATTCTATTTTTAAACTTAGCTCATGAAGACAAAAAGTTATGATTTATTCTATAAAGATGTATTTCGCCTACAGTTAAGTCTGTATGTTTGAAAAATAACAAAGACACGTTCATTGAACTGTCTCGTCAATTATTATAGTTGCTCGAGGGATAATTCTTTGTCTAAGGTGAAATGTTTTTCATTTACTGAAATATTGTACATTCTATTATTATTATTTTTTTTTTTTAATAGACAAAGAAAGAATAAAAGAAAGAAAAAAAGTCGTAACTTATTGAACGAGAAAAAAAATTTATTATTGTAATGACTTCTTCGTTGACCTTTGTCTGATCTCTCATTCTTGATTTGTGTTATATGTTTTTACCTCATTTTTAACTACGATAAGAAGAAAACATAAATTTTTAAACTTCTGTTATTATTCTGTTCGTTTCATAATAATACTGACTCGAAACTGTCAAAAGAAAGACCATCGATGATCACCTCACTTTTATTTTTTGATATATAGTCATATGTAATGCTTCATCAATTTTTACCATACAGATGTTGTACGTGTTTTGTCTCCTAAGTAAAAAAAAAAGTAATTTTTTTTTCTTTTTTTTTTTTATGTCCTGCTATGTATTGTACGTCCTCTTGCGGCTTTGTGTGTGATTTCCGCTCTTTACTTTTTTTTTTAATTCATGTACTCAAATTTATTCAGTTACAATCATCGACGGAAAAATTTTGAAAGGAAAAAAATTGGATACGAAAAGTATACATACATATAGGACGAAGAGAGAAGAAAAAAAAAAAGAATAAATTTTACACATTTTCTTTTGTCATTTATGTTACTACTACGAATGTAGTTTAAAGTAGACTATGTGTTCTGTTATGTTATACACTAGACACCTGTCCTGGAATAATGCATGTGTATATATTCTGTTTCCTCGGAAATTTTATTCTCATTTTTTTCTCACATTGACCTAAAATTGATACGTAACAAATTTTTTTAATCGTCCATAATTATTTAAAAATTTTGATCATATGAATGTTCACCAGAATAAAAATGATCAGTATCCAACTTCAGCATGTATGGTATCATATTTCACTTGTGTCTCATCATGACATGTGACGTAGGTATTTATATTAGAAATAAGAAAAAAAAAGAAAAAGAAATGTAGTTCTTTAATCCATTTATAAATAGAAATAATAAGATTATCCACCGACAAGCTCATATCTGTGTTTTTGTAAAGATGCATATATAAGGCAATTACGATTGTTGATGTAACATTTTAAATTATTCAATAGTTCGATTAGCATGACTTACTGTGTTAATATGTGTAAATATTTGTGTGAAGCGAATGTTTGTTCATAGACAGGAGATTGATCTTTCACCATATTTCTATTTCTTACTAACATCAAGTTGACTTTCATTTATTCACCTGAATGTTTACAGACGATATTACAGTTTCTATAATCATTTTACAATCATTATTTGCATATAGAATAAAATAGCAAGGACAACATATTTCTATCAATCTAGATAAATACCATATAACCATTAGTAAAACTTTTATTGCTCTTCTTTGACAAAAATGCTACATTTAAATCATATAAATTATGTCTGTGTGCGTATATTGATTTGCATTTTGTTTTTTGCTTTAATTCATCAGAATAAACTAACTGATCATCAAATTAATTTTATATTCTTTTCTTTTTTATGTGACAATTAGAACAATAGATATTTGTACGTGCTTTTCACTTGATTCTCAACGATCATGTACAGAACGGCTCCATATTGTTTTCAGATTTACACTGTTACATTTGATCTATGGCACATAAAAAATATGAACAGGTCATTGTAATTTGACATAATATATTTTTGCTACTGCACGAATTTAAGTTTATCACTTGTTTTTATCATGATAATACAGCGTAACGAATGTAAGTGATTAAAGTTCAAATTGATCAATTAATTTTAAAATTATTATTTTGTTTTTTATGTTTTTATGTTAGATACGTCCGGTGGTGAAATAGCCATATGGTTATTGATAACAGTTGGAGCTTTACTCGTGCCAATAATTGTGATAGCTATCTGTTGTATTCGTAGACAGTAAGTATATCAAACAACAATAACTAATAAAAATTGCTGTAGTTATAATCCTTTTTTGTTGAAAGTGTGTGCCCATAATTTAGTTTTGGACTCAAATATCTTAATACTGATGATTTAACATTTTTTTAGTAGGCGAAGTTATTTTTCGAGATCAATATTAGTAAGTTGTGCACAAAACTATTTAAAACAACGCAATTTGTACAGTTTAATGCTTACTAAGAAACAAAAGATATAATCGGGCTAAATTTTACCTTATTATATCTTTTGTGGTTGAATGCGTTCAAATAATAAAATGCAATCTTCAACAACAACTTGCTTTTGAATATTTCCTCATGTTCTTCTTCTTTTTTTTTCTTTTTTTATTGCTGATGCATGTGTACTGCTTCGATAATTCTTTCCCATAATCGAACGACAATTTGCAATTCACTGAAGCTTCTGAGTCCCTGTTGTGTAATTTTCTGTCTACACAAACTTAAAAATAGGCGATGCAAATTTTATTCTTGCTGAGACCCGATCATAATGTTTTTAATGTCGTTTTACTTCATTATGTAGAACAGTAGTTTTCTGTGAACATAAAAAATTAAAAATTTGATAATTTTTGTGCATTATACACTGTTTCACATTACTTTTTAAAGTTGTTGGAAATCACTGCCATCTCGACCACGTCGCACAATTAATACTACTAATGAACTAACACAATCATCATGGGTTAAACGTGTTTATGATGTGTATGTAGGTTATCTGTCAATATATATATATATATGTATTTAGATCTAGATTTGATTGTGTGTATATGTATGTGCGTGTGTATAGATAACATGTGGATTTTTAGGTTTATTCCGTTGGATCTAAGATGTTTTTTTGTTTGTTTGTTGTATGGTGAAGTGCATATATGTTTTGTTTTGTTTTTATTTATATTTTTTCACATTCGTTTTCATATCAAATATTATTTCACTAGATCATTATTTGTCGTTTATCGTTGCATGCTCATAGCTGTATATGTATATCAATTATGTATTATTTTAGCTTGTTAAGAAACCATCCGATAAAATTGATGGAGGACAAACATACGGCGAGGAACAAATCGACGGCAACGGGCCTACGGTAAACAGAGTGTCATCTTTTTCTAAAATAATATAATTCTTCTTTTGATGCTCTCTTTAGTTCGTATAACGGCCCATATGGTGGATCACAAGAAAAAATTGATTCACTCGCAGCAACACCAAAACAGAACGGTAGCAGTAATATATCAAATGATAATAATCTAGATTCATTGTCAAAAACTGGTTCACTCAAAAAACAACATGTACATTGGCCAGATGGATGTTCAATTACTACTACTACACAAGATTCAAGTGATGGATCATCGAATATTAATAACAATAACAATAATGATAACGATACTGTAAAAAAAGCATCAGATTTTATCACAAGCGATTTAAGAACAATTAAAGACAAACAATTTTCCCCAAGAAAACAACCACCTCGATTGAATACTGAACATTTATATGAAAATGGTGGTGCTGGTTTAAATATAACGAATATCGAATCACCATTAACTCGACCAAAACTACCAGCAACATCTTCAGCCTTGTCGTATTTAATTCAATCAGCTGTAGTACCAGCCGGTTCCACAGTTAGCGGACGAACTCTAATCGATTCATCTACAAAATCCACTCGTTCAGAGTTATCAACGTACGATAGTATAGTGTAACAAGAAATTGTGTTTCACTGTATATATTTTATCTTGCAATTTTAATTTTTTGAGTTTATTTTAATGATGCTCCCATTTTGGAGCGTAGTGTAGTAGGAAAGGAAAACGGATACTGAATAGCACCCATATCTGTATTGTTTTTGAAAAGTACATTCATTCCACAAAAAAAAAAAGTGAACTTCACCTGATTTTATCAGCGTGTAGCTGTTCTGTAAATATATTGTTAATTAATTATATATTAAATTTTGTCAGATTATATGCGACTATTGTACTCTTGTAAATCATTGTTTTTCAGTCCTTACGCTCAAGCATCGATGAAGTTTCCTTTTGATCTTAGTGAGTTTTTTTCTTCTAACTGACTGTTTGTGTAAACTTTTTATTTTATAGATTTAATGCTTATTTTTTATTTCTTTTCGTGAAAAATATGCAGTTTTGTGTGTTTTGGTTTTAGTGGCATAATTTATGCACTTGTCAACAATTTCTTTGTCTCATAACGAAAGTTTTATCTGTTACTAAATTAAGCATGAAAGAAATAGTGAATTCATATATTTCTATTGATAATCAAAACGTGACATTTGCGATTAGTGTCTGTAATCAAGTTTTCTTCAGTACTTCAGGTTAAAAAATACTGATAAAATTCTCAGTCTTTTTCCGGACACATTTTTGTTAAGGATAATCTATAACTGCATCCACTAAAGATAAATTTTCATTCTACAGAACCACGAAGTGAAATCCGTTTTTTATTTTAGAGTTCAATTACTACAGGAGACATCTTTGTTTTTAATAATCTATTTCAAAAGTTTGCCTTTGTGGAGATCTCATATGACGCTTTTTTTCTTTAAATCTAAATTCTTTAGTGACTTTTAGCTTTTTACACTAATTTTCCAGCACAGTTCAGCATGAAAAAGTTAGGCATTTATAAACAGTATAACTAGTCAAAATCACATTTGATCGAAAAAATTTTAAAGATATATTCGATCGAAATAAATCATTTGGAGATAATTTGAACTCGTCGCACACGATTACCTTATATGCAACAAATTTTGGATCGAGACACTGTTGAAAAATTTCGCGATATCGTTCAGTCTTTGTTTCCGTCCACAAATTTCTTAAAAAGAATGAGTGCATTAAAGACATAGGAAAAAGTTTCTTAGATGTATTTTGAAGATCCAAAAGTTTTGTTGCGTACAAGATAATCAACTCAGAGAGTCTGAATCTACAACTCGGTCTCTATCGAACACGTTTTCAAACTTTCTCGATTAGATTGATATGTTTTAAAAATGAATTCCAACATAACTTGTTTTATTATTTTTTTTGGCGAAAACTACCATTTTAAAACGTTTTTTTTAATTTTTTCAAGTGTTTTCAGATTGAATACGTGTTCACATGCCTTCACATATTTTCTCAATACATTCTTTTGAGTTAAGTTTTTTTTCTATCATATTATGATACACGTTAGGTTTGAAAAATAAATTTCACCTACAGTGCTGGTTGAATATTGAAAGGCGGCGTAGTGTTATGGAAAATTATAGTCTCTCGAGAGCGTTCTCTTTCGCACCAGTTTTAGATCTGAATGAGAGTAAACGAATAGAATTAATTCATTTCATCCTGTTTTAAACGTTCAACTGTACAGTGAACTCATACTCTCTGCGAACGATACACAAAGACGAATTAGACTTAATAAATGTATTTGAAAATCGTTTAAATGCAGAAATGTTAATATATGAGAAAAACTATTCATCTGAAAGCTTTTTCGACTGATTTAATTGTATTTTTCATTTAGTAAAATCATCATCATTCGTAATTTTAAACGTTTTATTTTCTGTTCAAGATTTGAATATAACAATGTCTATTTACGGTATTTTATCACCAGAAATTTTATTAAAAGTATTTGACGAACTAAACTCATTTGATGTATTGTATTCTTTTTTTGATATAAACGAATCTTTTGATTAATCGATACATTCCATTTCACGATATTGATTTAACAAACATTTCAACATATAAACTTTTTAATTTTTATTGTATGAAAATATTTCCATCTCGACTTGGTTCATCTATTCGTTCGCTAAAACTCGGTTGATCAAAATAAATTTGATCAAATTCAATTAATAATTAAATATTGTAATAATATTGTGAAATTATTTCCTAATTTAAAATGTCTTTCATTAAGTTATGTTGATGATCTGTCACCATAGCTTGAAATATTTCAACAATTATCTCATTTATCTGTTACCTGCAAAAATAACGATCAACTTATAATTCAGCATATTCTCGAAAATTCAAAATTAGACACATGTTTTATCAATTCATTAAATTCAAGAGGAATTCATTTACCCGGCACCTGTTTACATCAGTGTTCTATTCGTCAATTGACAATTAATTTAATGGATTTTGATGATTTACTTGTATTATGTAAAAGTTTACTATTAGTCGAGAAACTATCGGTACAAGTAAATCGACTTAGCTCTCTAACATTAACAAAAAAGAAAGTTACAATAGCAACACAAAACAAGACAATATCATTACCATTCTTAATTGATTTAAAACTTGAAATTACCTACGTTGAATCTGATACGTATGAAAAAATTGAACAATTCTTTGAACATTGTACAAAACTAAAATATTTAACATTAATTTTAAAAGCACTATCAAATCGTTTTATTATTGATGGAAATGTGGTGAAAAAAGATTTTCTATTGAAAATGAATCAGCTGGAAAATTTTCAATTTTTTATTAATTTTGATATTGCTGAATTATTATTTGGTGGCAGAAAGCAGGCAATAATTTCAACGTTTGATACAAAATATTGGCAAGAGAAACATTCCAATTTAATCGTGTCATATTATCAAGATGAAGGTAAGGAGAAAAATTGAATCGAAATCAAAATTGGTCATTCATAAGATGAGATATTTTTCAACTTCAGTTGTTTAAGGGTTCCCTCCTCCTCAAATGATGATCCTCGGACAAAAAAGCCATTCTGAGATAAGCACATGGAAAGATAGTATGAAGTGTCTACTTTCAGAATCTATATCGCTTTCGATTACGAGAAGTGATTTTCCATGGTTTTCGAGCAAGTTTTCTAGGAGCTCCGAAAAACCGGATCTTCAGATAATAGTTTTTTCCGGGATACTTATGCAATGAAATTATTTTCTCAACGCGTAGATTGTAGAGCAAACTTTTCCGATCAGAATAAGATGTCGCACAGCTCTGTATAACCTGGCATTAAAAGGTTACAGGCATTTTCCTAAAGCCCTAAAATTGAGCATTTTATACAGCGTTTTCTCTACATGTGAGTTTCACCTGAAGTATTTCTCAAAATTTTTTAATATACTTCAAGCTAAAGAGCGTATTTAGATTGTGAGTAAGGACCCTTAAATGAAAACTATTTTAAGTATGTTGTTCTTTTCAATGAAATATTGATAGGAATTTAAGTCAGAGATATGATAAAATTTTTAATTCTACATTCTTTTTCTCTATAGGTTGTTGTTCACTATTTACGTTGCCATTTCTATTGGATAAAATCGATATGGCTGTGGATGATTTATTTGAAACATCAACAATTAACAAGAATGAAATCATCGTTACAAGTGATCTATAGTTTAATGTTCGTAAAATAACAATTGGTTCAAAATTATCAATGAAAAAAATTAAACAAATATTATGTAATTTGAATGAAATTGAGTTTTTAAATGAATGTGTACAACAAATGGACTATGGTTATCTATTAAACAATTCAAATAGTGAAATAAAATTAACAACAATACGAAAAATTATATTTAATGAATCAAGTATTCCTAATAAATATGTAAATAAATTTTTACTTTCACTTCCAAATTTGAATTCAATTGAAATTAATTCAGATTCATTTTTGTATTTGATTAATTATCATCATTATAAATTAGCAAATATTGTATTTAATCAAATTAAAGAATTAAAACTATTTGTAAAAACTAAGATGCACCCAGGGCAGCCTTGCAGTGAAATTTATTTTTCGACACTTCATACACCATTCGATAGAGAATTTCG